CATAATGACCATATTAACAGATCATTTTGGTGCAATTATCTAGAAACTTTATTAAAATCATAAGATTTCTTTGAAACAATTATTCCATCAAAATGAAGAATCCCTTCACTTTCTATACTATTCTTAGCCTCTTCTGCCAGCTTGTCCGTTAAGTTAATTAACTCAACCAGTATCTCCATAGAATGTCTTTGCTCTTTTAGAAATGCAAAGTTTAAACCCCTTTCCAAGACAAGCGTAACATTAGCATCTATAGATATGCCGGATAAATAAATGTCTTTATTTTTACTAGAAAAAATAGTACTAAGTTTAACTACCTCCTTATTGTATCGACAATTCCTTTTGCTGTTGTTGATCCCTAAATTCATTAATTTCTTGTCAAGATATATGGATCTTATATATATCCTATCCGCCAAACCGTCCTTCATTTTTTGCAATTTGAGAAAGTTTTATAGAGAAAATAAACTAGAAAGTGATAGTCTAGTCCTTGTTTTGGATCTAATCAGGTCATGTAATTTGTCTATGCTTTCTTTGAGTCTAGTCTTAACAATACCACTTGATACATGCTCCAGTTTCCTATTAGTTGAAATAGTTAATCTGAACGTCTACCAAGAATACAACATCTGAGAACTGCATTACGTAAAATACGAATTTTTTAAAATCTTATAATAATGACCTGCCGGGTTTTCTTGGTTTTCGTATGGCCACAAGAAAGTTGATAAGAATTCATACCAGACGTACGTAATCTATGGGAAGAAAAGTAGGGTTTCGAGGAATCTCTTGTTTCATAATTGTTGGGCTTACTTCCATTTCGAGTAAAAGTGTTAAGTGAAGAGATTCGAAGGTCGACCTTCAAAATACACATTTATTTGGCTTGTAGAATATGGAGTGGGAATCGATCGATGATACTGTTAATATATGAGGCAGATGTATCGAACAAACGTTTTGATGGTTACGGAGGTTTCAGAGTCAAGCCGATTCGAGGTCACTGTTCTTAGTATTCCTACAAACGAACTAACATTAACATCGGGACGATCCTCCTTGGGTTCTTGTGATACTAATCTGCTAATCCTTTTGACCCAATTTTTCAGGTAAAATGAAGTGTTCTAATATTTATATTAATGCGAGTAATGAAACAAGTAAGCGCCTGCGATAAGTGAATTTCTGAGGGCCAAATTGGGATGAGATTTAAAACAGACCTAACATAAGATAAACGTGTGGGGATGGTGTGGACTAACTCTTAAGGACGACTCTTGGTAATACCCAATAGAGCAGCGAGAAAATTAATACCCTCTCGATATTGACTATCTATAAGCTCTATCATGAAAGCAAACCCGACTTTAAAACTGGATCAAACCAGGCCTCCAGATCGTATGTATGAAGTCTAAAGTGGTGTGGCCTTAGGCATAATCGCATTCTTCTTTAGCAAAGGCCTACAAATCATAAAGGATTAAAATCGTAGTAATTTCGGTCAGGATCTTTTAATTTCGAGTTCAGATTCTGATCCAACTGAGATCTACTTAAAGTTGAAATAAAGATTTAGGTATGATGGTATCATGATGTTGTGATTGAACGAGCGAAAACCAATTACAAAAACAAGATAATAGGAGCGTCAGTCGTAGCGCGAAAGTAAATTTTATCCGAGATATGTAGAAAAACAGCGAGGAGAAAAATAGATTATAAATATCAGGCGATTTATATTATTTGTGCTTTCTAAAGGATAATAGGAAGAAGAATATCAGGCCCAACGAATGGAAGACAGATTTAATGTGAAAAGGGCTTTGTTCATCAACGAATGCAGGAAACTGGTGATAAAACCAAAAAGATTAAAAATACAAAAATGAAAATTGAGGTTTTGCATAGGAGCAAGATACCTCAAGAAGCATAAAAATAAAGAGGTGAGTAGCGTGAAGGACAAGAGAAACTGTACCCCTGAGAATAAATAGATTCAGCTCTTGCTTTATGGCTATACACAATTAAATACATACATAATCACAAATATATTATGAAGAAATAATCGTTAAGGCGTTTACAAATAAGCTTGAACGAAAAAATGGATAATGATTAAAAAGTGCCCTTTAAAATCGGTGAAGTAGATATTAAAATTATATGATTAGAATTAGAAGGGAAAAGCTGAAAGCAAAAATAGTAAATATTATTCAAGGCATTTTGGAAAAATTATTGTTCGGTGACAAGGGTGTAGAGATTCGAAGATAAATATCAAGTAAAAAAACGGAAACCAGATGCAAGAGGAAATAGCTAAATATGGCGAAACGAATAAAGCAGGAATTTCTCTGTGTATATGTACATGCAAATACATACATAGTGGTGTTAAATATTCATTGATGACATAGGAATTTTAAGATAAGGTAATATAAAATAAGAATTGACCCATCAATATACTAATGGAAAGCGGGCTTCACTTGTGGTAACATAGTCAGTATCTACAATCATAAATCCCAATATAAAGTTAAAAAAGGATGAATATATATGAAAATATGGGTTATTTTATAAAAAAGATGGAGATGAATGAATAGAAAAATAGACGAGAAAGACTAGCAATTCAAGTTAGCCGCAAAGCTTTGTAGCATCTCCGCTTAAATCAAATGGGCGCCAAGATAAAGATTGAGATAACACCCGGTAGTGTATGACACCCGAGGGGATAAAAAAAGTGTAGAAGTGTTTATATCTGTATTTATGCGCAATATAGGCCTTATAGAAACAGGCCCCCAGAAAGTCAGTTATATAACTTCCATGACAGCAAGAATGTGCTTAAAAGATCACTAGAGCCGAATTTAATTTCATTTCGCAATGAACGTGAACTTGACGAAAGAGCGGCTAAAAATTACAATAAATAAAACAAAAGAATTTGTTGAAATAATATAAATTTAAAAATAAAGTGCCAAGTTATCTCAATGTTGGTACTAAATTTTGTAAGCTTAAACTATTTATAGAGAAATTCATACAATGAGCAATAGGCCAATTCCCCAAATTAAATAAAAAATTAATCGAAGGTACGAAGACCAGGATGATGTGCATTTTTGTATGATCGCGGCCTTTTCTCGTTGTATGGAAGTTGCTTGACCTTGTTTACGCAGCTTGGTCATATTGACAGGAAGACCTAGAGGAACGCATCTTAACCGGAGTCCATAGTACGCATGATAATTTCCTGTCGGACCGTGGACTTGGTACATTCCCAGAATTTTCGCCGGCATCATAATTGAGTCTTGATAAGCTTAGCGCCAATGAGAATGTACCAAGTCCACGGTTCGGCTTTGGAAATTATCATGCATATTATGGACTCCGGACGAGGTGAGTTCCTCTAAGTCTTCCTACCAATATGACGAAGTTGTAAAAACAAGCTCAAATAACTTCTGAAGGAAATTAAGTTTGAAATATCAGAATAAAGAAACCTTGTGAACCTTACCCACGATCGGGGAGTCGCAAACTTACTTTTTGTTATAAATTCAGTGCATATACTTATATTCCTAATAAAAACATAGACTTTATTACAATATGAATATCAGGAAATGTGTATAGCAGAAAGTAATCACATACTAAAGTGGCTTTATGAACGACCCAGAGGGTTGACTGACTACGAATGCTTCATTTTTCCTACATGGCTTCAAGTTCCTCAGAGAGTAAAGATTGTCTTAACGAGCAAAAATGAGCCTAAGCAAAATAACAAAAAGTAGTGGCATAGAGTTCTTTGATATAAGGGGTTAAATGTAACCAGGGTGAAGTATCATCATGAATCAAGAGATGAGCGATGTAGAAAACAAGACTTGAAAAAATCAGAGTACTACGAGCAATGGTCGCCCTGCTACCAATAATTGGGAAAACTCTTAATATTGTAATCATCATATTGACCTCAAAGTCTTTACAATCAAGAAAGCCAACGGAGAAGAGGCCTTGATGATAGGAAATAATTAAATAAAATCGAAAAAAAACATCAGTAGCACAACTTCTTAATAATTGGCCGATCTAGAAACTAAGCTATCGTATTTATGTACAGGAAAGTTGTAATGCTTTTGCTCACTAGCAATGAACCATAAAAAATCATAGGCCAGCTATAGACGCTAAATGTCACTTTGAAGGTCCAGCTTTTGAGACATACGCTTTTTTACTGGTTTCCTCTATGACTGAGGGCGAGATTGTCACATGAAGAGAGTGTTATACTTTTGCATCTAATTTCGCTTTTTCATTGATCTCAAAAGGCCGTTGCCATTATAAGAGACGTGAAAGGAAGCTACTAAGCCCCAGGTCTCAAAGTAAGAAACTAAAAAAACAAGCAAGAGCGAGCATCGTCCTGATTGTGGAAGGCCTCAGCTAGTCCACCATATGGCTTTAAAACGTAAATATAAAAAAATTCACATTAAAGTTAAATTCTTTGAGCGATTGTAGTGGGATTTCTTCATAGGATGCAAAATCTAAAGTTTGAATATTTTGGTGAGTGTGCTTGGACGCGAGCACTTTAGAACATCGATAAGGCGAGAACGGAGTTTAAGATGAAGATAATCTTGGCTTCCTGAGCTATCCACAATTGGGAAAAGAGTAGAATACAAATGCCAGAAGCATAAATAAAATCCGAGTTAGGAATATCTTCTCTTTTTCGTACTCCTGCGCCAGACGAAAATGGCTGATATCGAATCACGAAATATATCTGGAAATCGGTTAAACTGTATAAAGACTGCAAAAGACCTCGTAGTACGAGGGTCACAGCTCATAGGAATTGAATAACAAAAATGGCTTAATGTCACCTCGCACCCTGTTCTTCACTAGAAGGTCCTAATCACGCAATATATTATGTACAAGTATATAATTTTCTCGAACTTAATTAACCAAAACAAGAAACACAAACAAAGTTATAGAAAGGCTCATATAGCATTGCGACGTATTAGTGAGATTATGAGAATTAACAATGGAGGGAAAAGCTAGCTAGAAAAAAAAACAATAGGAAAAAAGATTTTCACGCGTTTATGAGAATCACGAGCTAAAATTTGCTAACATAGTTCTTTGTCCCTCCAATAAGTGTAGCTGCGGCCAGCCGATAAAACGATTACTCCAGGCCGTCTACGAGCATAATTCGGAAAATAAGATGTTTGGCTGACTGAGGAAGTAGCTGCATTGATCATAGATGATTCAGGCGGCACGCCTACAGCTGCAGGTATCGAATCTGACCTTAATGGCAAGGATGGGAGAAAGGTAGAAGGATGGGATGGAATCGAGGGATAATAAAGGGCAGGAGACTTGGGAACATTCGCTGAGAGGAGTGTACAGGAAGAAGAACCTGAAGATACGGGACGAACACGACCTTCGAAGTCCGAAAGACAGAGCCCTGAGCCCCGCAAGGAGAGTAGAAACTTTACAGGTTCGCGATGAGCATGACAGCTTACCTTAAACAGAGGCAAATGCAATGAATAAAGATAAGGGAAAAAGGATATTTGTGACCATAAATCCCACCAATCGAGTCGATCTATTTAAACACCTATTGATTATATGTAGCGAAGTAAATTTCATGAAAAAATACCAAATAGGGATTCATGAATAAGATAAAAATAATATAATTAGAAAAGGTGTGTCCAAAAATGTAAGAATAAATGACTTAAATATAATAATATAATAATTAATATAATAATAGCAATACAACTGTGATTAAAAAGCCATAAACATGAACAGCCATAATAATGCTTACTTCGAGAGAAGGCACATCAACTTTAGAATGGTAATCACGAGAAGGGAGTCCAATGGCTAAAAAAAGAATCCAGAAAAATACTTTGTTTCGAAAAAACTCTAATAGTATTAATACTATGAAATATCACATATCTAAGAGAACATAACAACTCAACAGAGTTAGTAAAAGATTAGTTGAAAAGAAAAGAAACAAGAAACTGAATGAAAAAGGTGT